ACTCGCAAAATGCAAGTTAGAACTCCCAAATTGTGAGTTAAAAATTAGGTAACTTGCAAAAACTTGCGAGTTGATTTTTTTCCTTGGGAAAAAATCAGTCCCTTTGTGGTTATAGTTTTTAGCTCACCTGAGCTGAAAGCTCAAGTGAGCTTTTCTGATCACATTTTGTCTGTAGTCCGTCTGTCTGTCTGTCTGTCCGTCTGTCCGTCCGTCTGTAAACTTTTCACATTTTCGACTTCTTCTCCAGAACCACTGGGCCAATTTCAACCAAACTTGCCACAAAGCATCCTTGGGTGAAGGGGGTTCAAGTTTGTTCAAATGAAGGGCCACGCCCTCTTCCAAGGGGAGATAATTAAGAATTGGTGAAAATTTGGTGTCATCTTTTAAAAATCTTCTTCTCAAGAACCATTGAGCCAGAAAAGTTTACACTTATGTGAAACCTTCATTACATAGTGTAGATTCAAGTTTGTTCAAATCATGACCCCCGGGGGTCGGGTGGGGCTACAATGGGGGATCAAAGTTTTACATAGGAATATATAGGGAAAATCTTTAAAAATCTTCTTCTCAAGAACAACAAAGCCACAATTAGTCATATTGATATGGAATCATCCTCAGGTAGTGTAGATTCAAGTTTGTTCAGATCATGACCCCCAGGGGTAGGTTGGGGCCACAATGGGGGATCAAAGTTTTACATAGGAATATATAGGGAAAATCTTTAAAAATCTTCTTCTCAAGAACAACAAAGCCACAATTAGTCATATTGATATGGAATCATCCTCAGGTAGTGTAGATTCAAATTGTTCAAATCATGACCCCCGGGGGGTAGGGTGGGGCTACAATGGGGGATCAAAGTTTTACATAGGAATATATAGGGAAAATCTTTAAAAATCTTCTTCTCAAGAACAACAAAGCCACAATTAGTCATATTGATATGGAATCATCCTCAGGTAGTGTAGATTCAAGTTTGTTCAAATCATGACCCCCAGGGGTAGGTTGGGGCCACAATGGGGGATCAAAGTTTTACATAGGAATGTATAGGGAAAATCTTTAAAAATCTTCTTCTCAAGAACAACAAAGCCACAATTAGTCATATTGATATGGAATCATCCTCAGGTAGTGTAGATTCAAATTTGTTCAAATCATGACCCCCGGGGGTAGGATGGGGCTACAATGGGGGATCAAACTTTTACACAGGAATATATAGGAAAATTCTTTAAAAATCTTCTTCTCAAGAACAACAAAGCCACAATTAGTCATATTGATATGGAATCATCCTCAGGTAGTGTAGATTCAAGTTTGTTCAAATCATGACCCCTGGGGGTAGGGTGGGGCCACAATGAGGGATCAGAGTTTTATATAGGAATATATAGAAAAAAAATTTTCTTCTCAAGAACCACAGAGTCACAATTGGTCATATTGATATGGAATCATTCTCAGGTTGTGTAGATTCAAGTTTGTTCAAATCATGACCCCCAGGGGTAGGGTGGGGCTACAATGGGGGATCAAATTTTTACATAGGAATATATAGGGAAATTCTTTAAAAATCTTCTTCTTAAGAACAACAAAGCCATAATTAGTCATATTGATAAGGAATCATCCCCAAATATTGTAGATTCAAGCTTGTTCAAGGCATCCTCCAGCAGTAGGGTGGGGCCATAATGGGGGATCAAAGTTTAACAAAAGATCATATACAGGAAATATCTTTAAAAATCTTCTTCATTCTCAAGAACAACGAAGCCATGATCAGTCATATTGATATGGAAGCATCCTCAGGTAGTGTACATTCAAGTTTGTTCAAATCATGCAATCATGAACCCCCCCCCCCCCCCCCAAAGCAGGGTAGGGTGTTAAGTGTTAAACATATCTAAAATTCTGTTTTAAAGAACAGCAAAATCATGATTAGTTATATGAAGATAGAAGCATCCTCGGAAGGTTTATATTCAATTTCATTCAGAACATGGCACCTTGGGGTAGGGTATGCCTAGAACAGGCGATCAAAGCTTTATATATGAATATATAGGAGAAATATAGGAGAAGAAATCTGCTGACGAAGAACAGCAGGGCCATATTGACTCAGGTGAGCGTTGTGGCTCATGGGCCTCTTGTTATATTGGTCATGTATTTTATTTCCCTCTTCTTTAAATATCAGTATGTCTAGTTTTTTTTTTCTTTTTAAACGGTCATTTGAAGAGGGTGCTAAAAACAAATGAACAGCACCAACAATGATGATCATGTCTTCCATTTGAAATCTTAAAAAATAGTAGGGATGGGAAAAGGGTTAAATATAACCCTTGGGGAAAAAAACAGTTGTGAATGACTTATATGTGAAACTCTATAATAAAATTTGTAAAAACTTTGTCACTTTATAATAACAGATGTATAAATACAGTATCATATGTTTAATTCCTCATATTACAGTTAAATTATCAAGATAAAGTGAGAAAAAACATGCATTGAAACTCTAGCAAAATTATATAATATGACAGAACACAATGCTTTTAATTTGAATCAATAATTTAAATAAAGGTCACACTGTAGTTGTATTTTGTGTATTGAATAGTAGTTACTTTTTCCTTAAGTTACATGTATTTCATTTTAATTTTAAAAAGGCTTTTATATGAAAATTGTGAGTAGTCTTATAAAACTGCGAGTTCACTTTCTTGGTACTCGTAATTATTTGCGAGTTCTAATTTTAAGGAGTTTCTAACCCTGAGATAAATAATGAAATATATGACATGAAATTTTGAAAATTCATGAGGTACATGAACTACTATGCTTCATGCCTGCATATTTATCATGAAGCGCTAACGAGCTTGTAAAGTGTTGTAATTCATATTCTCAAAAATCAAATTCATTTCTTAAATAAACTGCCCCAAAGATTGAAATATTTGTTATATTTGCTGCATTCTAAAACTGTCAAGTTGCAACTAATTTTTCAAATGTCTGCAATGGTTATGTTTTTTAGTCCCCTACCGGTGAAACCGGAGGGGACTATAGGTTTCCTCTGAGTCTGTCCGTCCGTCTGTCTGTCTGTCTGTCCCTCTGTCTGTCTGTCAGTCTGAACCAGATTACACTTGCCGGTAGGGGACTAGTATTGCTAATGCAATACTCTCAGAATGCTTGTTTTACATATAAGAACCTTTACTTACGGCTTCTAGATTCATGTCTTTTACATTTAAGGACCTTTACTTACTGATTCTAGATCCACGTCTTTCACATTTAAGGACCTTTACTTACTGCTTCTAGATCCATGTCTTTCACATTTAAGGACCTTTACTTACTGATTCTAGATCCATGTCTTTCACATTTAAGGACCTTAACTTATTGATTCTAGATCCACGTCTTTTACATTTAAGGACCTTTACTTACTGCTTCTAGATCCATGTCTTTTACATATAAGCACCTTTACTTACTGCTTCTAGATCCACGTCTTTTACATTTAAGCACCTTTACTTACTGCTTCTAGATCCATGTCTTTTACATTTAAGCACCTTTACTTACTGCTTCTAGATCCATGTCTTTTACATTTAAGGACCTTAACTTATTGATTCTAGATCCACGTCTTTTACATTTAAGGACCTTAACTTATTGATTCTAGATCCATGTCTTTTACATTTAAGGACCTTAACTTACTGCTTCTAGATCCATGTCTTTCACATTTAAGGACCTTTACTTACTGCTTCTAGATCCACGTCTTTCACATTTAAGGACCTTAACTTACTGCTTCTAGATCCTTGTCTTTTACATTTAAGGACCTTTACTTACTGCTTCTAGATCCACGATTTTAGTCCCCTACCGGTGAAACCTGAGGGGGACTATAGGTTTTCTCTGTGTCTGTCCATCCCTCTGTCTGTATGTCCCTGTCAGTCTGTCCCACTTTGTTTTCTGCACTTTTTTCCTAAATGCTTGAAGATATTGAGCTGATTTTTGGTGAGTGACACTTGAAGATATTGAGCTAATTTTTGGTATGTGAGTGTATCTTGATGAGTTACAGATCAAGTTTGCATTTTGTTCCGCTTCATTGATTTTTGATGGAATTATGACCTTTTCAATTTCTAAGGGTTTTCCAAAATTTTTTTCTAAACGCATGAAGATATTGACCTGATTTTTGGTATGTAACTTTACCTTGATGAGTTATAGATCAAGTTTGCATTTCATTCTGCTTCAATGATTTCTGACGGACTTATGGCATTTTCAATTTTTAATGGGAACCAGATTACAATGCCGGTAGGGCACTAGTATTGCTAATGCAATACTCTAAGAATGCTTGTTTACATTTAAGGACCCTACTTACTGCTTCTAGATCCATGTCTTTTACATTTAAGCACCTTAACTTATTGATTCTAGATCCATGTCTTTTACATTTAAGGACCTTTACTTACTGCTTCTAGATCCATGTCTTTTACATTTAAGGACCTTAACTTATTGATTCTAGATCCACGTCTTTCACATTTAAGGACCTTTACTTACTGCTTCTAGATCCACGTCTTTCACATTTAAGGACCTTTACTTACTGATTCTAGATCCATGTCTTTCACATTTAAGCACCTTTACTTACTGATTCTAGATCCATGTCTTTCACATTTAAGGACCTTTACTTACTGCTTCTAGATCCACGTCTTTCACATTTAAGGACCTTTACTTACTGCTTCTAGATCCACGTCTTTCACATTTAAGGACCTTTACTTACTGATTCTAGATCCATGTCTTTCACATTTAAGGACCTTAACTTACTGCTTCTAGATCCATGTCTTTTACATTTAAGGACCTTATCTTATTGATTCTAGATCCATGTCTTTTACATTTAAGCACCTTTACTTACTGCTTCTAGATCCATGTCTTTTACATTTAAAAGGACCTTAACTTACTGCTTCTAGATCCACGTCTTTTACATTTAAGGACCTTAACTTACTGCTTCTAGATCCATGTCTTTTACACTCAAGGACCTTTACTTACTGCTTCTAGATCCACGTCTTTCACATTTAAGGACCATTACTTACTGCTTCTAAATCCATGTCTCCTGCATCATCTTCATAATCTGAATCATCTTCATCTTTCCATTTGTTAAAATCTGTTCTTATCCAGTGAACCTAAGTACAGGAGAAATAAGGGAAACATATCAAAAATTATCTCCTCATCTTTTCATCTGTGGCAAATTCTTGGGATAAAATTTTGACCCTTTATAAATGTATTCTGTTTCCAAAAAGCAAAAATTTAAAGAAAAGTGCACAACCCCATACAGTCATGGATAAAAACATACTCTGTAGCAAGATGTCACTCAAGTGATTCCAGTGATTTTAAAAGAATGTTTTCAGTTCTGATTCTGATTGCTCATATGGTTGTAGCAGTCCTGCATGTACAGTAGAGCTGGGATGATATATCGAAAATTGATTTTGTGTGATGACCACAAGAGTATCAATGTGTGTGCAGAAATGTTGATAAAGAAAAATTAATTTTCTGACCTATTTTTTCTTTGTTTTACTTTTATGTTTTGAATATAAAAAGGATATTTTAAATATAAACTAAATCCAAGCACACAAGAGTTAAAGAAGATGTGAATCAACTGACCAAATTTTATATCAAAGTCAATGGAGATAATTTTTTTAAGCATTTAAGGATAAATAACACACAAATTTTGTCTTCCAAAATTCAAGTATTATTGCTTGTATATGTGCCTCTCTCACTAATGAATTGATATCTGTTTAGTTTAACAATTTAATTTTTTATTAAGCCACACTTGGTGAAAAGTGGGAAAATTATCTTTACAGTTCAGTTTTGTTACTGTAAAGTTTCCTGGAACATTTATACAAATAAATTTCCAAGTTAGATTTCAATTGTAAGAAATATTGAAATCAAAAGCTTGAAAGGCTTCAATGGCATCAAACATGATTTTAAACACATACAGCCCCTAGTAAATTGACAAAAAATTAAATATCTAAATTTTACTCTAATTTTTGCATGCACTTAATCACTGATATGTGTACCCTCATGGAAAACTACTTTTACCAAAGATAAAAACATAATTTGGAAGATATATGTCTTTATTTTGAGTAGGAGTACCATGTTTACATCCAATTCCTATTGAATTTTGGCCCCTCCCCACTCTTTGAAGCCCTTAAAATATAGGAGTGCAAGTAGGTACATTTTCCTCCTTTGGCTGGTCACTGTATTTTATTGAAATCTACCTATATATGAAAAGAGAAAAATTTTCCTAACTCACTCAAATGTTGCTTTTAAAAAATTGTAAAATCTAGCTGGCCTTCCAATTATTAACAGATCCATGAAACTATTTTTTCTGACCTAAGAATAAATTCATATGCTAATTGAAGCACTGGCATGACTTTCTAACTGACCAATCAGCTAAATGAGTTGCATTACTAGTGAGTACCACAAAAATAATAGGGAAAATTAATGCTTTGAAAAAGGCATGTTTTTTACTTGCTTTCCAATTGACAATTTTTATGCATTTCAGACATGGATTAGACATGAATCAACAATTTACCTGTTCATAATTACAAAGAATTGATTTATAAACATACATTGTATAATTTCATAGTTTTGTAAGGCGTTTGGTGGGCAAATTGGCTACATGTATTCCCGAGTATCAGTGAATACAAGTTTCATGTGCATTTCTTGGTCCAAAATGATAAATGCTGAGGTTCCATGCGTAGTATCATGTATAAAAAAGCTTTTGCTGACCATTAAAAGTTTGAAATGTAGTAGAGATAATGTGTAAATTGACCTAAACCACATGTCTGTGATAAAAAGTAAACATGTAGTAAACCAGCATATTTTGTCGTTCAGTCATCGGATTGGACAATTGTTCTCAGTATACGACTATGTGCAAAATAATAACAATAGCCATAAGGCAGATTTCTCAGACATGCATATCCCTCTTTTGTACTAAGACCTGCCTTATCTCTATTCATAAAAGAACATATTGTCACAAACCAGGCTGAATTTTGCTGTCATGGGGTCTAAAAAATCATAAATAATGTAATAATCTTCAATATTATGATGTGTCTGAAGTATTGAAACTATTTATTCACTCGTTTGAAAACTATCAAAATCATTGTAGAATATATTTATAATTCATCATAGAAAAAGGGGCCTTAGACAGTAGTTTTGGTACATCATCCTTTTACAAAATTAAAAATTCTTTAGAGATTGATATTAAATTTTAACTTTAAACAAAATGTCACAATGACAGTTTTTGAGCCTTATGCCATGGTCCTGTAACAGAGTTAAAAGTGGATATGTGTTGTAAATAGTAAGGCCATGCTCCTACTAGCACTAACTAGTGGGTTAACCCTTTAGCTCACTCGGTATAGCGTTGGATTTTAAATCTGAAGGTTGTAGGTTCAAGCCACAGTATGGACAACCCCTAGTTAATCGGTCATATTGGTGCCCAACAACAAAACCCACCTGCAGGTGAGTGGTGTTTATATAGTCTTGTATGTAAGATTTCTCGGGGTAAGAAATCTCAAGAACTAGATGTGTCCTAAAGCCATGAATGCCCCCACAGGCAGCCAAAATTTCAAATGCCATATTTAGTCTTAAATTTGTTTGCACAAAAGATTTTTTTGATTCAAAGATAATAATTAGAAACTGCAAATTGTAAATTGCACATTTAATGAGCAGGGTAATACTATATGTCCCCAGCCATTTTATAGCAGGGGCATAAAAAAAGGGGAAAGTGTAACAGAGTTAAAAGTGGCTATGTGTTGTAAATATTGAAGCCATGCTCCTACTAGCCCTCGCTACTAGCTAGTGGGTTACCCTTTAGCTCAGTCTGCAGAGTGCTGGATTTTGAATCTGAGGGTAGTAGGTTCAAGCATACATGTTAACTCTACCGCTTTAGGCAGAATTCTACTTGTTTTACTCCATCTCCCGCCTACCACTTTTATTTGTAAATCGAACGCTTTCCTAGAAAATCCATTTTTGGTTCGCATGAGAAGCCATTTTTAAAGCCACTCGTCATAAAATCTTGTTAGATATCACATGATTAGGGAGCATACAAATGCTTTTTTTACTCCTTCAACACTGAGTAATTTTTTTCAACCAACCCCCAGTACACTGAGTAACTTTAGTCATCATTAGAAAATCCAACTGCAGTCAGAAAAATACAATAACTTCTTTATTTCCTTAAATATTTTAATAAATGACACATCATAAGAAAGATAAGACATTTCTCTTTTAGATGGTATAAAATTAATACGTATTCAAAATTATTTAACAAGAGAAAAGCACTAATAAAAATTATATTTTATATTCTAAATGATCTTATGTAATATTTTGATAACTTTGCTGCCACGAAGTTTCAAAATCATATATGTTCTTACCATCATTTAAAAGAGAAATTATTTTCGAGTAAAATGATATGCAATATGTCATAATTTATTGAAAAATAAGTCCGGAAAAATAAAAAAATAAAACATGGTGTTTCAGGATATTGAGAAAAGTTTGGGGCTTCATAAACGTGCTCCGTCTTGGAGCCTTCATAGTCTTATTCCAAGTCAAGTTTCTCCAACTACCTTTCACAACATTGTTTATTACTCATATCTTTATTGTCTAGGAACATTTATAATGTCTAAGTCCTGATTTTTATTTAAATTTTTTGTCTTTGTAAAGATCGGATATTTCGATGTTAACTGCCATTTTGCTTCCTTCTTTGTTTCCTTTAAGATTCGTCCAATTTTTCTTATTTTTCCATGATATTCGCCATGTGGTCCGCCATATTTGTTAATGGATGTTTATATCAATCTACCCATAAATCATAGCAAAAGATTTTGCGCTGAGAATACTTTCTAAGAATAAACATGTTTACTTTCAGTTTTGTGTCCGAGACCGCCACAACGGCCTACCATGTTGAAAGGAAAAATTTTATCAGACCATTGTGGCAGTGTACAGTGTTTAAAGGATTAAACCGATGTTTACACAGATTTCAAACGTGTTTGACAACGACAGGTGCACAAATCTGTAGAACAAAAATGTAGAACACAGTTTTTATCAAATCAACAATTTGTTCATATAAAAATTATTAATTACATTGTTCTTATGATTTAAGACAGTTTTATTCTAATCAGAGCATTATTCAATTATGTTATTAGCAGGAGAGTACGGGTATATGTATTTGTTGCAGGGAAAGGGGGATGAACATTATTGTTACAAATGCCAATGGTTTTAAGATCATTGATTTAGTTGTTCTTGAGAAGAAGATGAAAATGTGATAAGTTTACAACAATGACAACAGACAATAGACAAATTTTGATCAGAAAAGCTCACTTGAGCCTTTGGCATTTTCTGTTTTTTTCCTCCCTCCTTCATAGGTTTTGAATGTTATAGGTGACGTTTAACGTAGAATTTCTGTAACTTTGTACAGCCTTATAATTACATGTAATTAACTGACATGTACATATAACACAGGTTTATGAACAATACATACCTTAAATTTATCTTTTATTAACCGAGGCCAGAAGTGACCCTCTTCTTTCTTCTTTATCACAAACGGAACATTCCTGGGAAGGACAGTATATTTTGATTCCTGAAAAAATTGTTTCAGTTGAACTTGAAGTTAGATTGGTGCATGTGGTTAAAACACTTCCATTCTGTTTAAACTAAATAAACTTTTTTCATTCCTAACCTTTTCTGGCATATTTAATCATTACCTTTGGGTCTACTTCTTTGAAGAATTCAATTTTGGATTCATACAATTTCTTTTCTGCTCCTCCTCTTGCCCTACAAAAATACAGGTTTATAATTAAAGTTTAATAATATATATGCAGTGCCTGGGGAGGTCAAAGAACAGATGGGGCTAATGGCCCCACTTCTCATGAAATGATGGGGCCATTTGAAATTTTAGGGTCCAAGAGCAAATACACTGCAGTCATTTTAAAATATTTGGTATAAAAAATAACTGGACTCATGAGATTGTTAGTTTCATCTTTAAATTACATATCAATCACTTTTTGTTGGAACTAATAAAGCATTTATCTTCAACAACATATAGGAATTGCAAATCATCATATCTGACACTGATAATTTTTTTTCCATATCTAATAACCTTATTCAGTAATTCATTCTAACACAGCAACAGGCCTTTCAAAATCTGGCGGTACCCGGTACTTTTATCCAGCTGAAATCATGACTATACCGGCCAAAATATCTGATGGAGAAAAATTTGACAACATATTTAATTAAAACGCTTCCACTAGGTACTTCCCATTTTGTAAAAGAGGATCTTTTTGAAAGCCCTGCACCAAGTATTTTGAAAAATTATCTTAAAACTAAAAGCACCAAAAAGTTTTTTTTCTTTTTAAATGCTGATTTATAGATTGAGGAAAAGGCAATGACAAGATGTGGTACTTCATTGTATGGAAACATTTTCTATGTGCAAGACTTAAAATAAAATTTGTGATGCTATGGACAGAAGTCTAAAACAACTTGACAGTTATGAACCATGTTGGAGGAAAAGTTTCAGTTTCTTTGCCAGCAAAATGTCAATATGTTAAATAGCAGTTCCTATTTTATTATTCCATACTATCATCATCATTCAAATTGGATGGAATCATCTGTGAAGTGTCTACTGTGATGAACTTACAAACTAGAAAATCATACATGATAACATTTTACAGAATATTTGCAAGATGTGCCATTAGGCCATTATTGCATTGCGCCATTTTTCAGCAGTATGCACACATGGCACAAGGCCCTGCCCCTTCCTAGGCCCTACATATGGCTGCAACAATTAATCAAGGTGCACCCAAATCAAAAGGCGCAGCATTTGATTTAATTTGCAATGCAACTGCAGCTTCAAATTGCGATTTAATTCATGTTTACATTTTCTTTCCAGAATAAAAAACAATCAACATTTTTGGTTTTTTTCTTTACAACTAAAACAGAAAAAATGGTGGACATCTGCTGTGGTCAAATCTCAGGAATTTGGATTAAAAACCCACAAGCAAACCTCATGTCCACCCATTGTAGAAATATTTTGGCCTGAAAGAACTGAAATATTGCAATAGGTAACTGGCCAAGTGGTTCTTGAGAAGAAGATTTTAAAAGATTTGTCCTATATATTTCAAGGTAAAAATTTAATTCCCTTATGTGGTCCCACCCTACCCCCAAGGGCCAAGATTTGAACAATTTAGAATCTACACTACCCAAGGATGCTTTCATATAAGCTTCAGCATTCCTGGCCCAGTGGTTCTTGAAAAGAAGATTTTTAGCTTACCTGAGCTGAAGGCTCAAGTGAGCTTTTCTGATCAAAGAGTGTCCAGCATCCGTCTGACGTCCTTTGTCTGTACACTTTTCACATTTTCAACTTCTCAAGAACCACTGGGCCCATTTCAACCAAACTTGCCACAAAGCATCCTTGGGTGAAAGGGGATTCAAGTTTGTTCACAGGAAAAGATGCATCCTCTTTCAAGGGGAGATAATTAAGAATTCGTACAAATTTGATGGCATCTTTTAACAAGAGGCCCATGGGCCTTAACGGTCACCTGAGTACAATACAACAATTTAGAGGATCCATAAACTGATAAATGAAGCTTTGTAGCCCAAAAGCAAGAAATATAGTATGATTAGCATCAACAAAATAATTGGTTTAGTATCTATCCATCCCCCATTATTCACCATTACCATGTAGACTATTTAACAAAATGTCTATTTTTTAACCCCTTATTATTACTTCTCACATTGGCTTCTCTTGGCCTTTGAAGAACATTTAAAAAGATAAGTTATTTTTGTCTCAATTTTATTCATCTATTATTTCCAGGTCTACCTGATCATTAAAACTGTGAAAGTACTTTTCGTATTTTACAATAAACATTCTTGCATAATTCTTGTATTCTATTAACCTTTCAAATACATTATTTACAGCGATTAATTATCAAAGGTGAATGGCAAAGGGAATAACTTTGCTCAGCAGAATACAAGTTAATAGAGCACTGGCCAGGACCAGAACACTTGACTAAATGTCCAGGTGTTCAAAATTCTGGTAAGAATACCTTTGCAGATTAAAAATTCTACTCTGTTTGCCTCGAATATGCCCAGAAGCATAGAAGATTTTCAAAGAAATGCATTTTCACTATATTATTAAATAAATAAAGCCCCGCCCTTACACCAGAACATCTGACCCAGGGGCCATGAACTCACAATTCTGGAAGAAGCACCCTTGCTCATCATAACTATGCACTTGTTTCTTTGCTTTATAACCAGTAGTAGAAAAAATTATTTTGAAAGAAATTATACATTTTCAATATATAATCAATAGAGTCCCCCTCCCCCTCTTCACCTAACCCCTGACCCAGGGGCCATGAATTTCACAATTTGGAAGAGGCATTCTTCCTTATCATAACCATGCACTTCCTTTGTTTGAATAATACCAAGGAGCAGAGAAGAAGATTTTGAAAGAATTTATGCATTTTCCCTGTATAATCAAGACAGCCTTGCCCTTACACCAAACCCTTGACCAAGGGGCCATGAAATTCATAATTTTGGAAGAGGCAACCATGCTCATCATAACTCATCGTCACTATGTACTTAGTTTATTTAATACCCCGGAGAAGAGAAGAAGATTTTCAAAGAATTAATGCAATTTTACTATATAATCAATAGAGCCCCACCCTAACACCAGAGCCCCTGACCCAGGGGCCATAACATTCACAATTTTGGAAGAGGTACTCTTACTCATCATAACTATGTTCTTAGTTTATTTAATATCCAGGAGCAGAGAAGATGATTTTCAAAGAATTAATGCATTTTCACTATATAGTCAATAGAGTCCCGCCCAAACACCAGAACCCCAGACCATGGGGCCATGAAATTCACAATTTTGGAAGAGACACTCTTGCTCATCATAACTATGTACTTAGGTACTTTATTTAATATCCAGGAGCATAGAAGAAGATTTTCAAAGAATTAATGCATTTTCACTATATAATCAATAGAGCCCTGCCCTAACACCAGAACCCCTGACCCTGGGGCCATAAATTTCACAATTTTGGAAGAGGCACTCTTACTCTTCATAACTATGTACTTAGTTAGTTTATTTAATACACAGGAGCAGAGAAGAAGATTTTCAAAGAAATAATGTACTTTCACTGTATGATCTATATAGCCCCACCCTAGCACCAGAACCCCTTACCCTGGGGCCATGAATTTCATAATTTTGGTAGAGGGCTCAATGCTTATTACAATGATGCCAACAGTTTGACTGCTTGATGTCCAGGAGTAAAGAAGAAGATGTTTAAAGATTGCATTATTTTTGGTGGTTTTAGCCCCACCCCTCAGGCCCCAGGGGGGCAGGGACCACGAAATTCATAATTTTTGTTCCCCCTCACCCATAGATGCTATATGCCACATTTGGTTGAAATTGGTCAAGCGGTTTCAGAGAAGAAGCTAAAAATGTTCAAATGTTAACACACGACGCACACCGACAGACAAGAACGGACAGCAATAGGTCACCTGAGTGACTCAGGTGACCTAAAAATCTTCTTCTTAAGAACCAATGGGCAAGAAAAGATGAAACTTATGTGAAAGCTTTTTACATATTCTAGATGCAAATTTGTTCATATCATAACCCCCGGGGGTAGGGCGGGGCCACAAGAGGGGGTCAAAGATTTACACAGGAATATATAAGTAATGTCTTTAAAAATCTTTTTGAGAACAGCAAAACCATGATTAGTCATATTATTACAGAAATATCCTCAGGTAGTGTAGATTCAAATTTTCCAATCATGACCCCTGGGGGTAGGGCAGGGCCACAACAGAGGTGTCAAAATTTACCATAGGATTATACAGGAAATATCTTTAAAAATCTTAAGAACAGCTCAGGCATTATTAGGTATATTAATACAGTGCGGTCTCGTTATTACGATGTTCATTTTGTCACGGTAAAATATCATAATACCGAGGGCAACGTAATAAAACTTCCCAATAAAATCCATTAAAACATCGTTTTGAAAGCTTATGTTATCTGCATATTGAGGTGTATTTTTTCCATTCTGTTTTCTTTTTCCGTTCTACTTTACATATCTTAGTTAAAACACCTTGACACTTTAATTTATTCACAACTTATCTTGTAAATGCATATTTCTTCATGCTGTTGAACTCCTTTTGCTTTATTTCTAATGCAGCAATCATATTTTGTAGGAAAGACAAGCTATCGCTATGTGCATTCATTCCCGCGATCCCGCCATTTTCTTTTACTTTCACTTTCATGTGTACTTAGACAATGCGTTCATGAAAACTTAACTGAAAAAGGTTTCGTGTTCAACATATGTTCAACCGAAACATTAGGGTTTTTTTAATTTATTTATTAAATTTAGATGTATTTAAAATAAAAAAAAGCAATTTCAGTTCACAAAACAGAGTTCTACAAGATTTGATTACACACAAGCTTTATCGGTATATGTCGTAGTTCAATGGGCAATTACATGTATTATTCCGTGTTCCTATTAACACTGCTAAATTGGCCCAAGCCATTATCCAAGCTGTTGAAACTTGACTGAGTTTTTTTTTTTTTTTCAAAATAATGTTTGATACCCAAGCTGTCCATGAACACAGTGTAATGGCAAACATAGTTACACAGTGGATTTAGCATGCATCAACACAATTAAATGCAACATTTTCTTTATAAATAAGATTTATTTGGTAACCAACCTTTGAAAAATAAAGTAAATTTACAGAATTAAATAAACTAGAAGCTATAGATGTGCACACTTCCATAGTTTATC